AACCTTTAAATAAAAGGCACTGTTGAAGAAAACGGGACTATTTAAACGCTGTCGGAACAACAGGGCACTTCGCTCAAAAACGGAACGTCTTGTCACCCTAGGCTATAGTCCGAAGAAAAACGTCAATACAGTATTAGCAATTGTTACAGGTATATCAATCAATGGACAATGATTTTACATAGGCCTACTTACACATATGCCGGCCACGGTAGCCGAGCGGTCTAAGGCATGCACCGTCTTCGCTCGCTTGGAAACCGGGATCGTGGGTTCGAATCCCACTCAGGGCATGAATGTTTAGTTTGTGTGTGTGTTTTTCTGTGTTTGTGTACAGGTTGAGGCCTTGCGACGAGCTGATCACCCGCCCAAGGAGTCCTACCGAATGTGTAAGATCTAGAAAAACGGAAGTGAACGGAGAAGTTCATGGAGGTAGGCCTAGGCCCACTGGGGCTGTAGTGCCAAGGGAGAAGAAGAAAGAACTTAACGCATATACAAAAAGAAAAAGGTCACGGAAATGATTAATACATACACAATTCTGGTCAGAAAACCTGACGAAGACCTAGAACATGTATTCGATAAATTCCCGAAGTACCACATGAAAATTTTGTTAGGAGATTTCAATGCCAAAGTAGGTAGGGAAGACATCTGCAAATCGACAACTGGAAATGAGGGTTTTCACGAAATTAATAATGATAACGGAGTTAAGAGTAATAAACTTTGCCACATCCAAGAATCTTACTGCCAAAAGTACGATGTTCCCAGATGGTAACATTCATAAATTTACTTGGACATCTCCTGATGGGAAGACATACAACTAAATAGACCACATTTTGATGGCTTGGAGACGGCATTCAAGTATACTTGATGCCCGGTCATTCAGGGCAGCAGATTGTGGTGGTGGCAAAGGTTCTCAAGGTCTTTAAATACGCCTCAAAGGCAATCTGGAGTAGGTTTCACACCACTTTATAATACCAGATGCTGGTGCGGTAAAAGACATTATATTATTTTTCCTAATACCCACTCTTCCCGAAACGAAACTCTAGATTACTGTAAAACGCGGTCACAGTGGCCGCGCGGTCTAAGGCATGAACTGTCTTAGCCTGCTCAAACAATGGGACCGCTGGTTCGAATCCCACTTAAGGTACGGATGTCTGAGCGTGTTTGTGCTGTCCTGTGTGCAGGTAGCGCCTTGCGAGGGGCTGATCCCCGTCCAAGGAGTCCTACCGACAGTGCAAAAGATCAAGAAACTGAAAACGCGTCCAAGGTCCAACAAAGGGCTGCAGAGTCATAGACAGGCAGGTAGGTGGGAAGATTACTGTAAAAGGGGGAGGGATGTCATTCAGTGTTTGGGTGCAATTAAACGCGGCTGAGTTACACAACACTGCATCAACCTTTAGGGTTTACAACTGGTACAACTGTATACTGATCGCATATTCCCTGTCAAATGGAATGTTCATTTCTAGTCTTACAGCGGCTCGTACTTCAATGCCACCTGCACACATTCCACCTTGTTTTCTCATACGAGGCTACGCGACGGTAGATTCATAACAATTACGTCAGAGGACATTCCTGAAGGACGAACAGTGACTGTATGACCATTATTAAGAAAATGTTCTCAATCTGGCCGTTAGTCGCCGGCTTCCCACCGCGACGGCCCAGGTTAGGTCATGTGGGATTTGTGGTGGACAAAGTGCACTGGGTCAGGTTTTCTCCGAGTACTTCGGTCTCCCCTGCCAAATCTCATTCCGCAGACTGTTCGACACTTATCATCTATCATTCGGGGCTGGTATAATAGGCCAGTTAGTGGTTAACGTACCAAGTGGACCCAGTGTTACTCACCTAAAAAAAACCTGAATCTAAGTCTGTGGCTTCCAAATTTGGTCTGACAGCGGCAAATAGTCAGTGCGCATGATTAAATTGAGAAATGTTATGCATTAACCATAAACATGTGGTGAGTATCTGAAGGGCGTCTTCTGTAAAGCATATCAACTTTATATTGGAAACTAGCCTGACTTATTCATAACGAAAGAAACAGTTTTCCAACACGTGACTTGACCAAACATCGCAGTTGAGTGTGTATAATCCTGCTTCGTATTTCGTAGTCCCGGGTTCGAATTTCGGTCCACATACCGGGCTACCCTGCCCGAGATGTTTCGTGGGTTTTCTCAGTCCCTCTAGGCAAATGCCGGCATGGTTCACATCATTTCCAATCCAATATTCACTAGTCATCGTATCATTCGACGCTACACGTCTATAATCTATGCTTTTCGCAAAGCTGTTAAACAAACCATAAATAAATAATATAATACGTAACTTTAAGCTGGTATGACTGTTGGTATGACTTCAAAATGTTCAGTGTCATTCCCACATATGCAAACAATTACAAAAAGCGAAAGGACGTTGGTGTCGGTGCCAATGACCTGATTTCAATATTCTCCCCAGGGCTGTCCAACTTCAAACCACTGAGGGGCAGCACTGTACCTTAAGTACCTACCCGCGGGCAACATTATGATAAATCTACCTCTTTTCCAGTATAGCGTTACAATATCTGACTTGCAGTATCAGCTCTACGAAGCACAAGCACACAAACAGGAACCGGACCCCAAAACTTAAAACAGCATTCATGTAAATTAAATGCCTTTGGGTCGACGGTGCTTAAAAACCAGCCGCTAAGGTTTGTTCGATTGTACTGATATTGCATACTACCTTGGGAACAGTACTAATTTCATACTTTTCTAAGTTGTTTATTAGGTGTCGTGTAAAATCAACTGAAAAATTAAATAAGCATCTTCAGTAAAGTTCTGGACAACCCTGTTCTACTTCGTGGTTATGATTAGCACTTCTCTTTTGCAATCGGAAGACTTTTGGGGGGAATTTAAGGAACATGAATCGTCCGATGTCAATATGGGTAATGACGGGAAATTAAAACTTTTAGGTTCCATGAACATTTCAGCCCACTTGAGAAACGACTATCGTACGCACTTCTGTTCAGCGCCATAATTAACCAGTATGCAAGAACAGAGACAAACTGAATCCCGCATTAAGGCAGCGTCTACACGAGCGCACAAAATGCGTCCGTTGTAACGAACGTACTTTGCTGAGGACACCACAGAGTTGCAGAAAGTGGTGCGTAGTTTTTGTCGGCAATGAAGCAAGAAGAAAGCGTAGCATTCGTCTCTCTTTTTTATTTATGCGTTACAACGGACGCATTTTGTGCGCTCGTGTGGCCCCAGCCTTACACTGACCTGAACTGACGAAACTGAAGACGCTTATAACTGTGCAGATGTCTTAGATTTGTTTTTTATCGTGGATTATTTAACGACGCTATCAGTATTGTTAGACCGCCTCTGTGGTCTAGTGGTCACAGTTCCTGGCTACAGACCCGGAGGTCGGGGTTCGATTCCCGGCGCTACCAGATTTTCTGAGAAGTAATGGGTCTGGAAAGGGGTACACTCGGCCTCGTGAGGATAACTGAGCTATTTCAAGGAAATTGCGGTTCCGGTCTAGAGAACCGAAATTAACGGCCGTGGGGATTCGTTGCGCTGACCACGCGACAGACATCCTCTATCCGCTAAAGTTGGCACCCGGGCCGCCGCGGTGGGAAGCCAGCGACTAACCGCTTGAGCTCTGGCGCGGCCAAGTTGGCATTAACTTCGCCGACAAGCGGCGGTCGCTTGCGGACTCCAGCCAAGGAATTTTGTTTTGTTTTATCAGTATCGTTACTACACAGTGTCGGATGGTAAGATGACAGATGAGTGTTGAATTGGAAAGAGTTCTAAAAGAAGTGATCACGCCCTAACTGAGGTAATAGCTCTGCATTTTCTGCAGAGGAAAACCATGAAAAAGTCAAAGTCAGGCTACCAAACGTCCCGGCCGAAATTCGAACCGAGAACCTGCCAAATACAAGTCTAGACAGCTGCTTCTATACCACCCTGTTCGACCGGTTTATCAGGACTGGCCAATTTGGAGCATCTTGAGAACACTCTGCTGAAGAGTTCACAGCTCGCAGAGGTTCTGATAACCACAGTAACCACCGCGGAACAGAACGCTGCTTCAGTGCCCTCAGAATGGTTAGAACTTGCCTCTGAAACTAGGCAGGTCAAGGTGGGGCTCATGCACTGCCTGTCGTCAGCAACCACAGACACATCACAACTGGCATTCCTCAATCTAACTAGAGAATAATGTAGCTGTTCGTAAGTAAAAAGCAACAAGAACAGTTCTTGTACGAATTAAGACAGTTTTACAAGTAAACTTTAGTGCCTTTTCCTTACACGTTTTAAACGGATTAAAAGTAAAATGAACACTAAAACAGAAACAATGAAAAATGGTGCAAAAATGAAGTTACGAATTACAATGTATTTTGGAATTAGCTAATACACAAAATGGAACCTATAGGGAAAACTCGCCGAACAAAGTGGCCGCGCGGTCTTGGGCATGAACTGTCTTCTCTCGCTCGAATGCTGGCATCATGGGTTCGAATTCAATTCAAGGAGTGGATGTCTGTGTAGGTTTATTCTGTTTGTATGTACTGTGTGCAGGTAGCGTCCTTGAGACGGGCTGATCCCCGTCCAGAGGAGTGATACTGACTGTGTAAAAAGATTAAGAAACTGAAAGAGCGGCCAAGTCCAACAAAAGAGTGTAGAGTCGTAGACAGGAAAACTCAGGCTACGTAATGACAGCTGCATGAGTCAAATTCACCTCCCTCCTCTCGTGAAAACAGCGAATTCACGAGCCGCCACAGCCCAGACTTTAGGTCCCTGAGGGTTTAGGAATAAGCAATTCAGGCTAATCCTGTATAATTCGACGTTAATGAAAACAAACAATGCAGTTAACATAGCGTCGTTAAAACCACCAAGATAGCAAGAGTTCTAATCTGAAAGCAAGTTATAACGGCAGAATATAACATCAACAACCACATCAGTGTCCCGTCCCCTTTAACCACCAAGTCACTAAATACACCCAAGAGGGCAAACCAATGACACGTTTTTGTTCAATTTACTTACGTCTCCTGCCGAGTGCAGATATTGGGCCCCTCAAGGGATGAAGTCACGGTCACCAGAAGCAGCAGAACCAACTGCGAACCGCACCGTCTCATTGTGTCACACTGTCACTGTCTGCTATGTCACCTGCAAACATTAAGGAGGCTGTATCAACACTTGCAGCTCTATCACTGTATCGTTATCTTCATCAAACCGAAAAATTCGAGTTATGTTACATTGTTTAAGACTGCAGGCACGAATGCCACTAACACGCTGCACAATTCTAACAAGTTCTGTCAGTATACAAAACGTCGGGAAAATATACTGAAGGTGCTATTATTCGTCCTACCGAAGTGGTTCGAACGGCAGCCATATTCGTCTACTTAACGCGGTTTCGAGGCGACTGGTCACATTCGCCTAACTAGTTTAACATTTACTGGGAGTAACTTACACGAAGGGCCGCACCATAGCTCAAGCGGTTAGTCGCTGGCTTCGCACCGCGGCGGCCCGGGGTCGATCCCGGGTCTGCTCAAGTGGGATTTGTGGTGGACAAAGTGGCGCTGGGGCAGGTTTTCTCCGAGTACTTCGGTTTCCCCTGCCAATCTTCATTCCACCAATTGCTCCACAATCACCCTCACCTATCATCTGGGGCTGGTACAATAGGCCAGAAGTGGCCGCAATACAAGGGACTTAGTCCCACCCCACTAGCAATAAAAAAAAACTTACACGAACACAATCGAAACTTGAAGCTGGGCTTTCCTTCCTTTTAAGATTTTCGGTTGGAAAATATAGTTCCAAGTTAATTTCATCTAACGCGTCGATGTCGCGCCGACGGGTCAACCACAGACTGAAAACCAAAGATACAGTATACAAATGTACAAAAGTACAAAATAAAGCAAACACGGCTTCTTCCTTTATAAGATAAATCATCTAAATTTCTCGTGTAAGTTCGAGGCAACTATACATCCACCGTACATGTTACAGCTTGACACACACATAATTCGGACTCTAAATAATTAATCAGCTTAAATTACATGAAGAACAGTAAACCGAACCAGATTCTGAATATCTGATATATTACCACACACACTTTCAAACGCCTTGCAGATGTTTCTGCTGACAGAATCACGAATCATGTACGACTCGTCACTACGTACAACCAGACGTCCAACTAATTGGCTAAATAACCGACAAACTGATTAACCAATTATCCAGCGCATTCAATTCCTTGACACAGGACCTTCAGTTCAATACAGTATTAAAATATTCACAAAATGTACTGCTATTACGAAACCCACATGTTCATTACAGTCACCACAACAGCGTACCTACGACGCACAAGCACACAGTTCAGCAGTGAGCTAGGATATGCATCGGCCGGCTTGCGGCGCACATGTCATATAATTTTTCTCAAACGTCTTCATTTTCATTGCGTCACGTCCGCCATACAAACGGAAGCAAGTCATACTACACGCCTTCCCAAGGAGTCGCAAAATGTGTGTGGCAATGGGGAACAATTAATGTGACCGGCTATTATGCACCGTTAGGTAATGTTATACAAATCCGTGTTCAGCGTACCGGGATGTCATTCAACGAACGCAAGTATTCTATACATGCAGGGTCTTGCATTAAGCCTTGCACCCTTCATATGGTGGGGCACTATGTTACAAGCCGGAAGGTCGCGGCTTCCAGTCCCGATGAGGTGAATTTTTTCAATTTACTTAATCCTTCCAGCCGCACTATGGCCCTGTGGAGGACTCAGCCTCTAACAGAAATGAGTACCGGAAATCTTCCTGGGAGTAAAGGGCGGCCGGCGCGTAAGGCTGACAACCTCACCGTGATCTGTAATCCGACTGTCTAAAATGCGGAAGCCTCGACGTCTCACGACTCTATGGGCCTCCACGGCCTGTTACAGGGATACCTTTACCTTTTACATTTCATACGCTGACGTTAAACATTATTTTAAAAGTCTGTTCATTCCAAGAATTACAAACACCAGTCAGTTAATGATGTTCATGAAAACAATCACTGATCAGAGACAAACGCGCTCAAAAAAAAAACTCGGAGAGGGAAATGCTGGGTTCTTAAACGTTTAAAGTACACGACAGAACACGGCTACCACAGTCATACGTGTATAGGAGGTTACACCAGCCGCTCTACAAACAGTGCCACATTTACGTATAAGCTAAATAAGTTTGCGCTTAGGGCCTAGCAGTCTGAAGGGAGTCCATATACGAGGAGAAAAATCAACCAGGTGACAACACAACATGTAACTCGGAAGATAACGCCTGACTGCATCTTGTCAGATCTGAATGAAGGAAACAAAAACACATTCACTTGATGGGACTACCGAAACCAGATTGGAAATCGACGCAGTTGTGTGAGAACCAGCAAAGTATTTGTGCAGTTCCACATACATGGACATTTTCATTCTCATCTTTTGGGGGGAACAGTTTGGGGCCCCATCTTTAGCCCACTTTTGGGCCTCATTACGTCTTAAATCGTCCCTGAGTGCAAACAAAATAAGCAGATACTGGGGCCACATTCTACTAACACAAGCAAACAATCTTGAATTAAATATGACACTCTATAAACAAACTTACACTTCGCACTATATTCTGGTCTTGTATTAACACCATTTCAGCCAGAAGTTAACCGTTTCAAATCAGGATACGTCAGTGCTAATAACTAACATAACTCCGTGGCCAGTAGACCGCAAGCGAACTATACTGACCCAGCGACCTCCGCTTGTCGGCGAAGCTGGTACCAACTTTAGCTAATCCGTCCTTAAAATACACGCCTAGTTTAGCAGCTGTAGAGGGTAAATGAAATCGTCTACAGTGATATGCCATTATGGTCCAAATTTGTTCCAACTGACAGGTGTAAATTGCAGTTAGAAATAAATATCCTTTAACCAATTTGTTCTTTACGGCTATCCCCCCTTTCCGATGTTACGTGATCAAGACAAGCGACAAAGCGCCGTTAAAACAAACAGGACAAATTCCTGATTGAGAACCACTGTTAACACTGAAATGAAAAATATTTCGGTAACTGACTGAACATGTAGAGAATATGTGGTGCAACGTGCGGATGAGGAGAGAGGTGTAATGAGGCGCTATCTTCATCAAATGGCCTTCTGCTAGAGCGGGGAAAATAACAAAAACAAGATGGGCAGGATATGAAGCACGCATGGCAGATATGAGAAATGCGTACAATAACATTCATATGTCTCGCGATGCGGTCCAGTGGTGAACCCCTATCAACATGGTAATGAACAAAAGACTGCAATTTTTTCTATTACCTGCGCGACTACCGGCTTCTTGTGGACCCTCCTCCATGGAGTTAGTTAAGTCAATCCTTACTCTCATCACAAATAATGAAAACGTACTTGACGTTTAAGACTCCAAAACAGTCGAGATATGGGCCTGTTTTGCACGGATCCGTTCGTGCTTGACAGAGCAGAAAAGACACGCCACTTGGCGGTTGTTATGGTAACATTTTGAAGTTGCGAAACCGAACAAGGCTCTCAACTTGACTGAACACGAGCTACAGTTCAAAAGACAACCGCGCATCCGAAATTAACTAATCCGTAATCATATCCTTAGTTCTCAACCGCGATTTTGTGTGTGTGACTTAGCAACTCCCAAGTCGGGTGCAAGAGAGTATCACTGTTGTCAGATCTTCCATCTCCGAACGTCACGGAGTGCATTTACAAACTGGCAGCATTTAGAGTACGTACTAGTATGCCTGGCTAAACAAGACACTTGGCAACGCGCCTAAATAATACGTGACTATTGGCATCTGCTATTTCGAAGCGTAACACGCTGACGTGATTGTCACCCAATGCTGATTCGAGACGGACAGGTGTGAAGGATTCATTTAATCGCGGCCAGACTGTACTGAAATATGCAAGGCAACATAACGGCAACTTATGACTTTTCTTCACGGATATCCTCAGCGGTTCCAACAGTGCATAGCTTCTTGAATCATTTTATGATACTTTCAAAACTAGAGCAGTCGGCAGAGCGGAATTATATAGAATGACTGCGAGTTACGAAATGGAAAGTTTGTGGAACGAAGCTGCTGCATCTATGGAGCTACTTGAGCATCTGCGTGAATGGAAGGAAAGTTTGTGGAATGAAGCTGCTGCATCTATGGAGCTACTTGAGCATCTGCGTGAATGGAAGGAAAGTTTGTGGAATGAAGCTGCTGCATCTATGGAGCTACTTGAGCATCTGCGTGAATGGAAGGAAAGTTTGTGGAACGAAGCTGCTGCATCTATGGAGCTACTTGAGCATCTGCGTGAATGGAAGGAAAGTTTGTGGAATGAAGCTGCTGCCTCTATGGAGCTACTTGAGCATCTGCCTGAATGGGAGGAGGAAAAACGTGAAGAACTTCAGTCCGGGGAGCCGACCTCCTGGACGAAAAACTATCCTAACACGTCTAAAACACTGTAAAGGAATGATGTCTATTCGAGAACAATTTTCGTTAATGTTCTAGTACATTCCAGTGACGGTAACCTCTGGTACTGGTAAGTTTCGAACTAGGTTCCTAAACTCATAAAAACAAAAATCCTAATCCAAAAGAAGTAAATCGTCTTAAATAATGAGTTAATAATTAATTAAACAAAGAAAGAACAAACTAAAATTCACACTCCCCCCTTAATAACACAAAACCTCATGAATAATTACAAGTCCATGGCCCTCCACGTATAACTGCATATAGCTGGAGTGTCTGGGAAGGAACTTGCGTCAACTGAGCACAAACGTGTGGCCAACGGAACGGAAGGAAATCCAGGAACTTAAAGACGCCCTCGAACTGGTGAATGTGAAGAGAAATAAGTGGATGGTTCCGCGTTACAATTACAGGTGCCCCATTCCTGCTGCATCGTGCCCAAGTGGACACAGACAAACGGTTTTATGAAAAACGGTTCCTCTCACGGACAACTGTATAAGTTTTTGAATGCATTTATGATGGGAAGATGGGCAGAATTAAAGAAAAATAAATGGCACGGTTTTTAGATAAAGACAAGACGACATGAAATGTTCAAAAAAATAATATTTGTGCAGAAATAAAGAAACAACGACATAAATTATGAAAACGAGAATGAAATTAAAGGAAAAGAAACGCCAGAGCAAGAAAGGAAC